GAGAATCCCTACCCTCCTCGTACCAGTACTGATTTCTCTTCCAATCATTGGCATTACGGAGAAACCAGAATACCGTACCGTCGCGTGAGCTCGTGGCCCTTGCGTAGCACGTGCGTGCGATAAAGCACTTAATTCGATTAGCATCCGAAAGTGTATCCATGAAGCCTTTGAACTGTCGCTTGAGGTCCATATGTTCGCCAGTTACCGCCACGCGTTGGTGCCGTGTCAGAAGATCCTGGTCCGCGATCCGGTCTGTACCGGGTATATACTTCGGGCCCCCGACCACACTAAAAGCCCAATCTCATGGCCGGAGAGAGACTCCCGGCACAAAATCCTAACAAGTCTCCTTGTGATGAACCCTGACTCGATGCTTACCGACCACATCAAAAACCCAACTCTCTGGCTGGAAATGGCCCCCGGCACAAAACCCTAAAAACGGTTAGTAATTGATATTTCTCCCCGGTTGGTGTGCGACCCTAAGCTGCTGTTTCCCCGGGAAGGATGCTACCAACTCAGACAGTTCGAGCGGATTTCCACCCGTCAAGAGAGCTGATAACACTAAATGCTTTGTCCATTTTGCACCAGTAGCTCGTGACCCGTGCGGGGTGTGGCTCGTGGCCCGTGGCCCGTGCAGCGCGGGTTCGTGGCCAGTAGCCCGTGGCCCGTTTCTCATGGCCCGTTGCTCATGGCCCGTTGCTCGTGGCCAGTGGTGGGAATCCCACCTCAAGGCTAAAGCTCTTGTTGGCAGGACAGCAGCGCAAGCGCTACCGTACATCCAAGAGGATGTTGTGTACCGTCCTAGCGCTGCGCCTCAGCAGGTTTCTGATGCTTGTAGTACTTGTAGTCGCCAGGATCCTGCTAGGCTTTCATACGTCCAGGATGGAGCAGTTTGTCTGGCACACCCAATCCCTGCAATGCCTCCTGCATTTGTCCTCGGGCCAGTGTAAAGTAGCGAGCAGGGGCTTGTTAGAGGCAATCCAGTCTACTGGAGAAGAGGAGCTTTGTCAGGTGAGCAGCGACTCCGGCGAGGAACAAATTGAGACTTTCTGGTTCTTTCTCGATCGTGCTCACCATTGCTGTGGTAACGAAAGGCTCCATGTGAAGGTGCACGACTGACATTTTGTTCACTTTTTTGCACTTGTAGCTGGCAACTATTGGCTTGGTCAATAGAACAAGTGCTAACAATGCACCGTCCGATGCATATGTTCCTGTCACATGTAGTTACAGTCAGATTGTGGAATGAGGTCTTCTGGAAATGCTCATTGCTGCTGCCCTGTCAACTGCATGGCATTGCAGCTGAAGGAATCTTGTCAGTCAGAATTTGAGGGTGGGTATGCTGCGAAGTCTGGCATTGCTTGTCAACTGCAAAGCATTGCAGCGAAAGGAGTTTAGTGAGTCAGAGAACGAGGTTTGGTATGCTGCAACCTCTAGCAATGCAAGGTGGTCTTCAGCTTGCTGGGCCATCCTCTCTTGAACTGGCCAGTGCATTGGGATGGATAGAATGGGAGAGACTAAGACGAGTTTGGACATATGCTCACTTTCTGAGCTGAAATCAAAAGGTTGGTGTTGCCAAATTCTCCATAGCATGGGGACAGGAGTAGTGATTGTTTACAATTTCCCTGAACTTGAAGAAACTCCGGATAGATGAAGCGAAGAAATCCCTAAATCTTCCGGGCCACCTGAGTGACTCGTAATAGAGCTTAGAGGGTCCTACACTTCGTCCCCTCCCATAGCCCCCCGGCGAGACTATGGGGGGGGGCTATCGCTCCCCCCCCCACCCCCACTTTGTTAAAAGGAAAGATGTGTTTTTTTTTCAATTGTTTGTCCCCCACTTCGTGCGCCACCCACTTCGTTCTTTCATAGTCCCACCAACTCTCCCCCTCTGCTGTTTGCTCGTCCCCCACTTCGTTCCCCAAATGAAAGCCTTTTATTAAATGTCCCAGGGTTGCTCATGCTCTGGGACAGGGAGGTTTGAGAAGACCCAGTGCTGATAGCAAGGTTGTTTTTCACCCCCTCGCAGATGCATGTCCCAGAAGGTCTCCTTCCTACATTCTCCCAAGCTCGCTATGAGGAACTTGTCCGGCAACTCACGTCCGGTCAGGATCGCCTCATATCCTTCTCGTCGTATTTACGGACGTGGAAAAGCAGGCCCAGGCCTGAAGAAAGCGCGCTCACAAAGCAGAGGGCAGAGTCTAGCAGGAATGGAGCTCTACGAGTTGAGGTGGAGATGCAGCTGGTATACACAGATCCGGCTGCCAGTCCTGCTCACCAGGGAGGGACTTGTGGCTGTGGCAGTGCCCGTGCTGCACTTGAGGTATGCAGTACCAGCAGTATAATATGTCCTGCATCGTCGGAGTGCCTGGTGCTGCTGCACTTCTGGCCTTGTCCTGACCGAACAGCTCAGCTGGAGGACCAGGTACGCGCGTTGCAAAAACAATTCGAGTACACGCTGGATCTGATTCCTACCCTGGTCTTCATCAAAGATGCTCAGGTGAGGCGCCAGGATGGTCAGCTTCATGGATTGAAGAGCATTAAAGCGCCTGCAGATGTGTATTACATGTCAGATGCTTTGTTTTCTTTCATCTAGTCAGGGTGACCGTCACAGGTACTCCCTTTTATCAACGTGTTGATAAAACGTGATTGTGACTTCTACCAATGGTTCTGCAGGATGAAGGCCTCAGCGTTCATGCTTGCGCACTACTGATTGTGATAAAACCAGCATGATGTTCCTGAAAATGTGCCTATGCGTCTTCTCAGCTCGACGTCAACACGGTGCTGCTGTTACTTTGTTGTAACCAAGGTTGTGGCCTCTCTTCCAGGGTCGGTACTTGTTTGCAAATGAGGCGCTATGCCAGCTGTACAGAAAGCCAAAAGGAGAGGTCGTTGGTCGAACCGTTCGAGAGATCTGGGGAAACACGCACCCTGAGGCTTTGTATCGGTTCTTTGAAGAGGACGACCGCAAAGTTCTCGAGGATGCACACACGACCTTTTATCAGGACCAGTGCATCAAGGGCGAGCCCAACCGGTACTTCCGAGCACTGCAAATGCCGTATAAGACGATTACGGGGGAAAAGGTGAGAATGGGACTAGGCCCACTTCAAGAGTTGCATTCGGGGACAGGTGAGAACAATGGCTATCGAGGTGTTTGTTTGCAAGGCTCAGATTGCACATAGATGTCACTGGATCTTTGTCGATTTCAAAACTTCTTGCGTGTTTCCATGTTCGCTTGACTAATCTTACTTCTTGTGGGGGATGCGCCAGGAGAGTGACTTGTCAAACTTTTCAAAGTTGTGGAGAGAACCAGGGCTTTGCAAAGTGACCAATCAAGTTCGGTTTTGTTTCGAATCTTGAGCATGATTCTATTGCAGATCAATTGCATTGCTTGTCTGGCAGGCTCTCATCGGATTCTACACCGACATCACCGAGCTGAAGCGCCTACTGCTAGAGGCCCAAGCCGCGGAAGCGGTGTTGTCAGAAAAGCAGCGGCTTCAGCTCCTGGTGGACAACATCAATGTCGGGGCGCTGCAGATTGACCGGACCGGGGACCCTGCCGATCCCCCAGTGTACCCAAACCCCGCCATGGAGGGCTTGATTGGGTATACTCAGGAGGAAGTGCCCACTTTGTCTGTGTGGTTCAAGCTCCTGCACAAGGATCAT